GAAACCACAATGCCCTTCTTTGATCTAGCCACTTCCATTCCAAGAAAGTACCTTAGCTGGCCTAAGTCTTTAATCTCGAACTCCTTGGCTAAGCTCTGCTTTAGTCTGCTCATCTCTTCAATATCATCTCCAGTCAAGATTATGTCATTAACATAGAGAATCAGAACCGATACCTTGTCTTCGGTGGATCTTTTTGTGAAAAGAGTATGATCAAATTGTCCTTGACTTTTAACGAACCGTGTGAATCTTTCAAACCAGGCTCTGGGAGACTGTTTAAGTCCATATAGAGACTTTTTTAACTTGCATACCATAGTTCCAAACTTCTCAGTGAAACCAAGTGGAGGCTCCATATATACTTCTTCTTCCAAGTCTCCATTCAAAAAGGCATTCTTCACATCCAATTGATTCAGTGGCCAGTCAAGGTTAGCTGCAACAGATAAGAGTACTCGAACTGTATTTAGTTTGCCACTGGAGAAAAGGTCTCAGAGCAGTCCACTCCATACATTTGAGTAAAGCCTTTAGCTACTAGGCGAGCCTTATATCTCTCCAAGGATCCATCTGAGTTGTACTTCAGAGTGAACACCCATTTACAACCAACAACTGTCTTTCCATCCGGCAGATCCACTTTCTCCCAAGTAGCATTCTTTTCCAAAGCTCTCATCTCTTCAAAAATAGCTTCTTTCCACTCAGGAACATTTAAAGCCTCCTAGATACTGTTAGGAATGGAAACACTAGACACTTGTGAAATAAAGGCACAATATGAAGGTGAAATATTTTTGTAAGATACAAAATTTGACAGAGGATGTTTTCTACAAGACCTAACACCTTTCCTAAAAGCAATGAGAAGATCAAGCTGATTAGAAGAATTAGAATTACCTGGAGGAATATTTTCAGGTATTTTTGGAGAATTATCATGAATTCCATGATCCACCCTCAGATCAGATTCTTGTTGATACTGCGGAATAGTGCCTCTCCTTTTTAGTGCTAGATGTTCCCTTAAATATACAAGGCCTTTATATTGTTTCGCACACATCTCTGTTGTTTCAGCTTTTTTATTTTGAGATGGCATCACCGAAGGTTGTTCATTTTCAATATTTAATTCATTTGTTTCCACTGATTTTGTATTTTCTACCTTACTTTCTTTCGGTGACTGGTTGTGAGGAACATCATTAAGGACAAATTCAAACATTAAATTAGAACTAACTAAAAGACCATCTTCACTAGTGTTGCTCTCCCCC